GAAAAGTTTCCTTCCCAGGAACCCTCGAGGGGACAACAGACAGGGCCTTTCACGGTCCTGGGGGTGTGACTCGGGCATATCGCATATCGGGTTCGATGCACCAGGCCCTGTGGGGGTCCAGGGTCAGCCCAGGAGCTGAGAGTGCAGGGCGCTCAGAGCCGGGAGGTTGTCAGCTGCAAGTGTGTGTGTGCACGCACTCTGGGGGTGCCGTTGGCTGGAAGCTGTGTGTTACAGAAACCTGGCCTGTGGTGGTTTCTAGTGTGCACGGCTCCCCCCACCTGTACGACCCGGGGCGAGTCTCGGTGTCCCCATCTCTAGGGCGGGGCTCTCACTACACCTACGCAGTAGGACTGACCAGAGGGTCACGTGAGTCAAGGCTCACCACGGGCGCAGCTGACCCAGTAAGTGGTTCGTTGGCATTGCCTGTTGTGGTGCCGTGAGTATGCATGTAATTCATGGTTCCAATGGCTTTATTGACCTGTAACACCCACACCACGTGTTACCCAGCGACAGTGTGCTCGGTCCTTTTTAATGTAATCACAGGGTAGTGTGACCGTCACCACAGTCTAATCTTAGAACATTTCACACACACCACGTGCACCCCCTTAGAAACTGGTGCCTCTGAGCAGTGACCCTGCTCCTCCTCCCCCCGCCCACCCCCCGTCTGCTTCCTGTCTCCCATTTGCTTCTCACGGCATTTTATATGAATGGAATCATGCAGTGTGTGGCCTGTGAGACTGGCCTCTTTCATTCTGCCTGATGGTTTCCAGGTAATTCAGCTTTAAGAGAGGCTGTTCGGGGGCACCTGTTTGGCTGTAATTTCTGATCGGATTCCTCAGGTTAGAACTGGGTCCCGTTTAACCAGCCACTCTAATCCCATCACCCAAAGGGGGGCAGGGCAGGGCAGGTGTCAGTAAAAATAAAGTAAAATAAAAAAGAAAAGATATAAGTAAAAATAAAATAAATAATAAGATATAATAAAAATGAAATAAAACCAAACCACACATATTGTGCCAGACAAATTGAGTCCAAATCCTGACTCTGTCTCTTTCAAGTTCAGTGATTGTGAGCAAGTTACACATCCACCCTGAGACTCAGTTTTGCTCTTCTGAAAATGGGGACACTCTGTCCATCACAGGGTCCTGGAAAGGAGTAGAGAAACACGTGTGCCTGGGACGTGGTCTGCAGCCAGCAGATGGATGGTTCATCAGTAACAACATTTTAAAGATCTGTTGGCTCTTCGATATGGGACCATATCGTGTGCTTAAAATATTCACTACAGGACTAATAAATATAGGTTGTGCAAAAGAAAGAATTGGAAAAACAGGTGAATTAAAGCAAAACAAAGTCTTTAATCCCAATATGAAGAGAAAATCGCTACTATTACTTTGCAGAAAGGAGTCTAGATTTCCTCTCAATACTTGTGTATATTCGTGTTTACAGTTTCCCAACATGCTGCTCTGAGACCTTACGTGTGGAACACATTTCCACATTGACGCTGCAGCTGTGCATATTTTTAAATAAACTCTCTGATTGCAGTTGGTACTATTACTTTATGTGTGTCTCAGGTGTGCAGCATAGCGGTGGTCAGGCACTGATGTCAGCTGTACTGGATGAAGTGACCGCCTTGTCTGGTCCCACACAGAGTCGCTCCCACAGCAGTGACTGTCGCCGGGTTAGGGAAGTTTCCCGTCGTCATTCTTCACACAGACTCTCCCTTCCCCCACCCCTCCCCTTCCACCTCCCCTTTGTGGCGCCCCTGTGACGTGGATGTTGTAGCGCGTGATGTTGTCCCAAGTGCTTAAGCTGTCCTCATTCTTGAAAATTCTTTGTTCTTTTTTTGCTCTTGCAATGGGCTGTTTGTCCCTCCCTTGTCTTCCAAATCGCCGACTCCGTGTTCTGCTTCACGTCGTCTGGTGTCAGCTCTCTCTGACGCACCTTCCTTATGCTACTCGTTGTTTCCGACTGGTTAGTGTTCTGTGGCTTCTGGTTCTTCACCGATGTTCTCGCTGACTTTACCTTTTTGCCCCGTAAGTTGGTCTCCTATCCTGTGAGCAGTGTTTCGAACTCTGTACCTAGTGGATCACTTGTCTCCGTGTCGTTTACGTTTGTCTGCTTTTTGCTCTGTTTTTTCATTTGAGACTTTTTTTCCCCCTCACTTGGCTGATTCTCTGTTTGTTTCTGTGTGTCGGGGGGTCTGCTCCGGCTCCCAGGAGTGGCAGGGTGGCCTTAAATAGCAGGTGTCCCGTGAGGCCCAGCGGTGCTCTCCCTGTTCACGTGAGCTGGTGCCCCAGGCTCGTCCCCTGTGGGTGGGTTTTGTGTGCCTGTCTGTTGTTATGGAGCCCTGGTTGCTGCTGGCTCATCAGTGGGAGGGACCGACTGTCAGGCCGACTGGCTGTGAGGATTGGCTGTGACTCTGAGGACAAGCCGTTGTATGGGGACTGACCCTGCAAAGCCGGAGCCACTTTGCTGGGGCTCTGGTGCCAGCCATGTCCACCTTCCGTGTGTCATTTGTGGGGCCGTCAGGGTGGCATTCTGGTGTGGCCTGAAGCCAGCGGGTTGGTCCCGGTGTCAGCACAGTGGTTGGCCTTGACCGTGCGTAGCTGTTTGAGTGATGCATGATGGGGGCTTCTGGGTACTGGGAACATTCAAATTCTTGGTCCAGGTGCCCCAAACGTGTTCCCAGAAAACTTGTGAATCAGGACACGTATGAGGGATGCACTTTGGTCTGCATACATGTCGCATAGCAATGAAAAGCGTACTCGAAAAGCTCAGTAATTCTGCTCAGCAGGAGTTTATCCTGAAAGAGATCAATGCAACAGGCACCAAAAGATGGATACAGAAATGTGTTCACCTTCACATTCATCCTACAAGCTTAAAAACCGGACTCAACCTAAGCAGGTTGCTCAGCCAGTGTGCAGCATGTACTGCCAACTTGATAAAGGGTGCCGCCTTGAAAAGGGACAGGTCTGCCTCTGGTCGGAGGTGGCAGAGTGGGTAGACTCTGTGCTCGCCCAGCACGACCACATCAGAACGACAGCTAATAGGGCAGCCGCCCCGAGAACCACTTGGACCGGCCGGAGAGGGACCCTGTACCTGCGGACACGCAGGAGGAGCCACGTGGAGCCTGGTACGGGGCACAGGGACGTGAAGTAGGCTGGTCCCACACCCCCGTGCGGCCGTGGAGAATTGGGAGGGCTATCTCAGTGGTGGGGGTCCACACCCGGCCCCCCGGCCCAGGCCCAAGGGAAGAAGAGTGTCCATAACACCTGGCCATGAAAACCAGCGGGGGCTGAGTGCAGAGGGCTGCTGGGGTCCCGGGCATTTTGCTTGAGGGGCTCGATCCCTGTCGGACACGTGCTCTGAGTTCCAGTGCTGGGTGCAGTTCGAGCACCAGGGACACATAGCGGGGCGAGGGGGTGGGTGCGGGTGCAAATAGGGGCTGAATCAACCCGACTCGGCCTGGGGGGGGGCTGCAGGGGCAGCTGTTGGGGGCTCTCTCCCAGGAGGGACGCACAGGCAGGAGCCATTGTTCCTTTGTTGGGCCGCACCCCCCAGGGCAGGCTCTGGCAGACGCCATACCTGAGTCTCCACTGACCTGGCTAACACCCTCCACCGCCACCCCCACCCACCCCCATGATTCCCTGAGACCCAGCTCCACCCAGTCCAAGCCCTTGGCCCCAGCTGCTTGGAGCAGCTTTTCCTCACCGGCAGCGCCCCCTTGGCTCATGCTGTGGACTTTCCTAAAAGCTCTCAAAGGTCCACAAACCCCAAACAAGCAGTGGCTGGCCTCAACATGCCCTGTACCTCTTGCTGAGAGGCCCCACGTCTGGCACAAGTGGTGACTAGTCACATCTTGCTCTGCAACTTCCATCGGGTGGCCCAAGTCTGACGTGAGCTGTCGCCAGTGTTGGCTTAGAGCGCAGCTCCCGCTAAGAGGCCCCGAGCCCGGCACCAGGGCAGCCGGCCTCAGTGCACATCAAGGTGCTCACCCAAGGGTCCCAAGCCCGGCACTGGTGACAGCCTGCCCTCGTGCGCAGCAGAGCTTCCCCCAAGCGCCACCAAGCAGCACAAGTGGCGACCAACGTGAGGTGACTTTCCGGCACTCACCAGGTGGCCCCACGCTGAGCACAGACGGCAGCTGGTGCTGCTGTGAGATTCTCACAGGGGTCTCCCAGGCAACTTCCAGCGCCGGCCCGAACCACTTCCCCACTCCCTACTCCTCTCTTTTAAAAATCTTTTTTTTAATTTTACAATTACAGTTGACGTTCCATATTGTATTGGTTTCAGGTGTACAGCGGAGTAGTCAGACATTTACATAACTTATAAAATGACCTCCTCGATACGACCAGTACCCCCCTGACCCCGCACACAGTCATTGAAATAGTCTTGACCATATTCCCTGGGCTGGATTTGCATCCCCGTGACTGTTTTTACTCCTGGGAGTTCATAGTTAACCCTTTACCTTTTTCACTCAGCCACTGCCCCCCACCCCTTCCTATCTGTTCCCTGTACCTGCTAGTCTGCTTCTGTTTTGTTTTTTTAGATTCCACATCTAAGTGAGACCCTGTGGTATTTGTCTTTGGCTGGTGTATTTCTCTTGGTAGGTGACTACACAAAGCACCTTTCTCAGCGAGGAGAGACCTGCCTGCAGGGGTGGGAGGGGACAGGACCTCGTAGGAGACGGGGAAGGAGACAGTGACCTGGGTCACCACTGTCCTGTCCCAGGAGCAGCTGCTGTCAGGAATCACTGTATTTTTGCCAAGGGGGTCAGACCTCGTGCCCCCGGAGCTGCACCGCCAGGCGGAAGGGGAGCCCTTTGCTGACACACTCATCTGCTGCTGGGCTTTGCACTGGGGGGCAGGGGGTGGCCTGAGAGTGGAGGGAAGAGGAGGGAGGAGGGAGGAGGCAGGAGAATGGCCCCGGCCTCCCTCTGGCCACTGCACGTCCAGTGGTCAGCAGTGTCTCTCACCCTCATTTTCTTTCCTCTTACTTTGCAGTCTCATCAGACCAGATAGAGCAGCTCCACCGGAGGTTTAAGCAGCTGAGCGGAGACCAGCCCACCATTCGGTAAGGCCGGCAGCAGGGTTGGCGCGTTGGGCAGGGCCCTGGCTCTCGGGGAATTTCTCTTTCCATTCCTCTTTTCCCCGGAGTGTTGGGGGACTCAGGGAGGGCCCCGGGGGTGCCTGCTTCCTGTAGTTGTTTTCATTCATCTGGTCCCTTCTAGAGAAGACGCTCTCCACTGGGAGGGAAAGAGACCCACCTGGTTTTTCGGAATCAGAAAAGTATAACACGAGTGAAGGGGAGGGGAGGAGCCAGCCGCCCGGACCTTCCCCTGACTCCCTCCGGACGTGCTCCTGGACTCTCGTGCTTGGGCTCCCACACCCACCGAGGGCCTGGGAAATGTCAGGATCCTGCCCACTGTGGGGAGCAGCCCAGGGTGGGGGCTCAGGGGTCCCCACGAGGCCCCATCTCTTGCCCCTGCTTCCCCCAGGTGGTTAGTTCTAACCTTGGTCAAGGTGGTGGGCGGCAGCCCTCGATCTCTGTCAAGGAAAATCATCCCACATCGCGGTTGTAGCACTGATCTTTTCAAAGCTCCGTGTGTTCCATTTGTTACGAGGACCAATAAATATGTTGCAATGTGTCATCTTCTAGGACAGTGAGTTTAGTCTTCGATGGCGGTTGAGTTCTTAGGGGTGAGGCCAATGGTCTGACCCAGTCAACCAGCTGATCTGGTCCGTGAGGAAGCTTTGAGGTGAACCACAGCCACCGGAGTTTCCAGTGAGCTGTGAGTGCTGTTCTTTCCGAAACTCTCCAACAGGCCACATTTCCTAAAGTAAACACTCAGGGTTAATTAGAGTGCTGGAACTTTTAGGACACGCCTTCTAATAATCCAGGAAAACTTCCTCCTTTTTAGTGCTTGGGCTTAAATTTCACTAAGCTTTGTGGGAACTGATATGAAAATAGCTTAAGTTCTCTAGTTTTGTTAATCCAGTGAGCTATATTCTCAAAGCACCCATCCCCCTGGGCTGAGACTTCGGTGGTCTCAAAGATCCCATGGTCTCAGTTTGATTGTATCCAAGGCGGATTTAAAGACAGTCAGGATTTACACCTTTAATCCTATGTTTTATTCAGTAAACTCAGTGAAAAGAGAGCCTAGAGCCCAGCCAAAGGTCACCTGTTTCTCATTGGCTCTGGTGGGGTCACATGACTGAGTCTGAGCCAATTACCATGGCTTGGGCCAGAAATGCAAATTGTTTTTTCTCGGAGCTGTGAAGGGGCGGGACTGGGTCATCAGCCAAGGGCAGGGCCCGTGGACAGAGATTGGGGAGCAGGGGGAGCAGTGAAGTGGTTTCCCGGGGCAAGGAGAGCCTCCAGTGGCCATGGGCTGAAGGGTGGGCGCAGGGTAGGAATGTCTCTGCTGGGCACCTTGAGGTCTAACGAAAGGCAACACTTTTTGCAACCTAGCTGAATGGAAGTGCCAAGGCCTCCTTCATTCCTTCAGAAGTTCATGGGCATGTTGTTGTGCCAGCAGTCTGTGCAGCTCTCTGTGGGAGTGGGTCTGAATCTGCTGTGTAGTGAGCGTGCTCCTTGGGATCTGGGTTGAGTGTTAAGGATGAGCAGACGCATGCGGGACGGTGCTGCTCTGACCTGAGTGTGTTGGCATCAGTCGGGGGGTCTGTCGTCGTTCCGCCAGTTCGTGAGGTCGTGAGGGCCCACCTTCAGAGGCCCATGCAGAGGTCATCTGTGGCTGGGTGGGAGTGGAGGGGGGAACACAGACCCTGCCGGGCCATTGGCAGCCCCTCCCACTTTCAGTGTCCAGCGGCTGAGTCCTGACTGTGCCGCCCAGTGGCCTCCCGGGCCTTTGCAAAGACTTACCGGACCCTTACATTCTGCACCAGTTTGTTCCAATGTGTGCGACTGCCGAGCCCCAGGAACTTGCTGAAATGCAGGTGTGACTTCAGCAGGTCTGGGGTGGGGCCTGAGACTCTGCATTTCCCACAAGCACGCCTGCCACGGGCCCCCACTGGGCTGAGTCACAAGGCCTGGGATGCAGTCAGCAGATTGTAAGGGACTTTCTAGTCCTTATACTCACTGGCTTGTTTCTCACTTCTGTGCTCATTCATTCATTCATGCACTCTCTCAAGTGACTTCTGAGGACCTGGGTCTCCCTGCTGTGCTGTCTGGGACTCTCTGCCCTTAGTGTCCTGGGGTGAGGAGGAGTGTGGTTGTCACCATTGCAGCCCCTGCTCCATGACTCTCTGGAAGGCGAGTGTCAGTTGCCCTGGTGACAGCCCTGCCAGCCTGCAGGAAGGGGGTGGGCTGACCACAGCGTCTTATGCAAACAGGCCTGCAGGAAGGGACTCCTCCCAGGCCCCCCCCAACTCCTTTGCCTGATCCTAACCTGCCGCCTCCCCCGCCTGGAGGAAGGACATGGGGTGGCTGTTCGGTTTCCTGGGCTTTCCTGTCTTGTCTTCCCAGGGCAGAAAAATGTGCCAACACTGTCCCCACTTGCCAAGGGTCTCCTGGGGACCTCAGTCTGGGCCTTCAGTCTCCCTGACCCCTGGGCACGTCCAGGGCCTTGGGCTGTGCTGGGGTTTTGGAGCAGGGACAGAAGACATGACTTTGGTGAAAGTGGACCAGGCTGGGACATTCCGCCCCATTAGAAAGTTCCCCCGGTGTGGCCCCCCAGCACCCCCGCCTGTGAGGCTTGTGGGAAGCAGGTCCTTGCACCCTCCCACGGGGGGGTATTTGAAAACCTGGAGGGCAAAAGTTTCCTTAAAAGTGAGCATTCAAAGCTGCAGACTTTGTACATACACAAGTAAGATTTGCAGGTTGCACTTAAAGGCTTAACAAAAAATGAGGTTTGGGGATTTGTGACTTAAATTAAAATGAATATGGCTTTAAAAAAAGTCAAACCAGGGAAAACTGCCCAAAGTTGATTTTAATTCAAACCTACTGTTTCCTACCTGTGTCCAGTGGGGTAACTTTCTAAAAATAACCTAAGGGGGAAGCAGTTTACCCTGAGGCAGGTAAAGCCGGTGCATCAGGGTCCCAGTCTGGGTTCCTTTCACAGCCTAGCATCTAATTTTTAAAAATCTCATAATGGTGCATTTTTAATTTCTTTAAGAGCCCGCCCCTCCCCCCACCCCCCCGCACCGCAAATCTGAATGCACCCTGACCACAAAACACTCACTTCCGGGGCCTCCTGGCAGAATGCTGAGTAGGCAGAGGTCATCTGACATCTGCACTGAGCACCTGCTTTGCGGAAACTTCTGTCCTGTCCTGAAAAGCCCGCCTTCTGGCTAGGAAGACACCCCCTGACTGACCCTTGAACAGACATTCATTGTGGACAATGAAGAACATGCAGTCACAGCCTCTTGCACCTTTTCTTTCTTTTAGTCGGGCCCTTTAACTGGCGACTGTCTTCAACAGCAACTTTTTACTTCCTGATGGCGCTCCGGCTGGCTCACCCACACCCAGAAATAGGCGCGGCGGAATCCTCCAACCGTGGCGATGGAGGACAGGAGGGGGCCTGATTAGATAGAGCCGTGTGACAAAAATATTTTTAGATTTGCTAAGCCACTGAACGTGGAGTGATCGCTGGGATGGAGGCAACCAGAGGCGTGGGGAAGGAGAAGGACGTGGCGGTGTTCTGGTAGAAGGGAGCCAGCAGAAGTCATCCCTGCCTCTAAGGCCTGTTTTGCGTTCCTCGGCCCCGCTCAGCTGGCTTTACTGAGCGAGAGGCTCGCCCAGGGCGAACCCCATAAATGGGAACCCGAGCTGCTGTTACCTGGGTGCTAATAATGTGTGTGCCGGACACAGGGCTGAATGCCCACTGGCGTGGTCTCAGGGTCTCAGGAACCCTGAAAGTTCCCATCATCTCCCCATGTTCCAGATTGAGAAGCTGAGGCCGGCCCTGACTGGAGTGGTTCAGTGGGTTTGTGGGTGTCGTTCCCACAAACTGAGAAGTCGCCAGTTCAATTCCCGGTCAGGGCACATGCCTGGGTTGCAGGCCAGGTTCCCAGTAGGGGCGTGTGAGAGGCAACCACACACTGATGTTTCACTCTCTTTCTCCCTCCCTTCTTCTGTCTCTAAAAAGTGAATAAATAAAATCTTAGAAAGGAAGCGAAGGGAGGGAGGGAGGGAGGGAGGGAGGGAGGAAGGAAGGAAGGAAGGAAGGAAGGAAGGAAGGAGGGAAGGAGGGAAGGAGGGAAGGAGGGAAGGAGGGAAGGAGGGAAGGAGGGAAGGAGGGAAGGAGGGAAGGAGGGAAGGACTGAGGCCAGAGAGGTTAAGGTCTCCCAGCAGAGCTGGCTGACAGACAGAAGAACCGGAGCTCCGATCCACTGTGATCACATCACTTTTCTCCAAATGAAGAAGTCACTTGCTGAGTCACTTTGTTTTTCACCTGTCAAGCAGCCAAAAATTTACTGTTTTCTTGGAATCACAGCAGTGAAAGGGTCGAGCCTGTTTCCCAGTCCGTAGTTGATGTACCCCGAGGGTTCCCAAGCCTCCTCCTGAAGCCTCAGCCAGGATGATGCCCATTTATTTGCAGAGAAAACCCACGGCCACTTGTGAAGCTGCCCAGGACGCAGCAGACAGCCAGGTGCTCACAGCCGCTCGGGGCCGGCAGGAGGGCGGGTGTGGGCTGGAGCCGCCAGTCAGTGCGGTGTGACAGGTGCCCAGGTGTCCCTGAGCAGGAAGACACTTTCTAAATGGCCATAGATTTATTGGTGGGAACGTGCATACACTTTATTTATTTATTTTTTTTACAGAGGTTCTTTTCCCAGGATTCATTCTGATGCAGTTCTTGCTCCCAGAACAGGCACTGTGGGCCTTCCATGGCTGGTCTAGCTCTGAGGGTGCTGTGGCAGGTGAAAGTGGGGCTCCCTCCGCCCCTGTGGGGGCTCCGGTTAGGGGTGCGGGGCTGTCGGTGGCCCAGGGCAGTGAGTCCCGCAGAGCCCAGTCCATTCTACTTCGTGATAAAGGAAGGCGGCCCACCTGGCAGGGAGGGTGGTCGTGAAGGAGCCTCGGAGGTGGTGTGCAGGGTGGGGCTGAGAGCAGGGTGG